CCACCCGCCGGCCCCCGCCCGCGTCAAGTTTGACCTTCGACAGATCAACTAAACCGGCGGGGCAGGACGCGGCAGCGAGCGGTAGCGGCGCACCAGCGGCCGCTGTGTGAAGCAGTGTGTGGCGGCGGGACGGGGCGTGGTGCGGGCGACAGGACCGCGGCCATGTTGCTAGAACTTGTCACTACAAACAGCAGTGTTTGTACGACGAAGAATCGGGGTTTTAAACGAAGCACAACGAAGTATTACAAAAGATTCTTCGCGCATGTATACGAACAGCCCCGGTTCGCAGATGCGCGAACAGCCTGGATTGTATGTAATACAAACGAGGCTAATCGTAACACAAACAAATCATCTGCATTGCAAATGCTTCAAAGACATTGTACATTACGAAGAGCAGTTGTTCGTAAGAAACTTGCAGTGTAGGCGGGGCGTGACCTATCAAGGGAGCGTCGTGACCCCAATAAACCTAACCCACCCCCGCCCCCTGCTAAGTGTATTCCCCGTATACACGTCCAGCGCGCCTTCAGCAGCACGCAGGGGTAGAGGGTCGCCGCACCTCTTTCAAGAACGAGATCCACCAGCGCGGCAGAGTAGGGTGCGACAGAGGGTGGACATGGCGAAGGAAAAGAAGGCCTCAAAGTAGCGCTGGTGTGAGAAACTGAGATAGGGTGTGTGGGGACGTGCTGTGATGGTTTTAGAAAGTGAGAGGGTAAACCGCAAACGAAGGGTCGCGGAAGGCCGGGACCTTCAGGGCGCACGGTGGTGGCCACGGCACTGGGTGTAACACGCACGCCATACCAGACCAACCAGACCAGGGGCGAGGCGAGGACAGCACGAGGGAGCCGCCCCCCGGGCCGGTCACCGGGGCGGAGGGTCGGACGGGGCGCCAAGTCCGCGGGGACGGCGCGGGGGCGTGTGGCGGGCGCCCTGCACGCCACGCGCGAGGCCCCGGCCGGGCCACGCCGCACGTCCGCAGGTTGCGGGAGGTCGGGGAGGATGAATGATTCCTGGGCTTGGGCAGAAAGCTAAGAAGGGCCCTGAAAGGGCGGGCAGCGCGGCAGAGCCACGGCGCCACGGCAGGGCAGCCGGCCCGCCCGAGGGCCCGCCCCCCACTTCCCGCCGCCGCCGGGTATTCTGGGCGCAGAGCTTATCACCCACCGCGCGTTCTATTACTCATACAGAGGCGCGGGGCCCCATACTGGCCCCTCCGGAATGCCGCCGACTGAGTGAGCATCTCGAGGAGCCCGCGCCCGCGCCACCGGCCGCCGCGACCAGGACTGTGCCGTGGTTATCTCAGAGACCGCAACGGAGAGTTGATAGCGGCCGGGGCGCCGGCGGCGGCGTGCGCCGTGCGCCTCAAGAAGACAACGGCGGGGCAGGACGACGGGGCCGGCGGGGGCGCTGCGAGCAGTGCGAGCTGCTGGGAGGGAGCGGCGTCGCTGTGGCGGCGGCGGAGGAGCTGATCTGGCGTCGCACTGCGCGGCGCGCGGCCCGCCGAGCCGGCGCCTGCCTCCCCTTTCCTGCCTTTTCTCCCCTCTCCACCACTCCACCCCGAGCGCCTCGCCACACCCCTCTCGTACGCTCTTCCAACCCGCCCCGCCCCGGAGGGTGGAAGCTGAGCCGGCAGTGCACCCCACTGCGGCCAGCAGCCCCGCCGTCCGGCCGCCCCGTCCCGCCCCGCCCCGCCGGCCCCGGCGGCCCGCCCACTCACCAGCGCCACCCACCCCCTTGGCTACAACCCCCACTCGTGCATGGTTAGAGTCAGCCAGAGACAAGGCGCCTCAAAATCGCCCCCATGCATCAGAAAACTAACTGGCAAGGCAAACAGTCACACCATCAAAATGATTCTGCACCCATAAGCATGCTTCTCAGGCCAGACTCTGATTTACCTACTGCAGCGTGAAGTGAACACCCCTTATTGCAGCCGATACACTTCGGGTACTGCACGATTCATGGAGATAGAGTGCTTGGACGGACTATTAAAATTTGTCAGTTGACGAACTAATCATACTAAATGGCCATATATGCTAGTCTCTTTCGTGAGAAATATAATATAATTGTAAAAACATGATCACGATACCATTTGAAAAGTGGTAAAAATTTATTGGGAGGATGTGCGAGAGACATAATGTTAGTTCAAATGACAGAAAGTGAAAGATCCATAGATACTAGTGTTTTGCCTTAGAAAAACAGAAATTTTGAATCTTGAAAAATATGAATTAATGATATGAATGAATAAATATTTGAATCACTGCACATTTACAGAAATACAGAGTTGTAACATGCACAGAGTGTCAACCCAAGGCGATCCACAGCACCAGCACCCATTCGTGCAATTATTCCACACACGAGTTGGTCGCGCCAGAACATAAACAAACGGGCATACTCCTGCGGTTACACCTACCTGAGACAATCAGCGCTTGATTTGGGCCGACGGTGTAAATGTTCCCCATGGCGATGTTAATCCAATTATTGCAACCACAAGACGACACAAACACTAGCTTTTCCGCCTCCCGGCAACACACGCGAAACTCTTAAACAAGACTAATTGACAATCGTCCACGACGAAGGCCGCTGTCAACTCAACGTGATCTCAACTGCTCCTCGCTACCACCACCACTGCTAGCAGTCGCCGCTAAGGGCATACTGCAGCACCCACAATGCATCGGCTTATCGGCTGCGACGCCATCTTGCCGGTTTCAAAAACCGCCAAAGTATGAGAAATCGTTGTCTCATGTTTATGAATTTTGGGTCCGCCGTGATTCAAGCGTGGTTTGCTGTTCTAAAATTGTCTCTTCTTTAATCCAAGCATTGCGTTAGAAATCATAGGTTTCAAACACTATCGCCGAAAGTGTTCTCCTAAGTTCCGTAACACCTTGGCTTGCATTTCCCAACAGCTGCCCAGGCCCAGGAGGCCGTGCCACCTCCCAAAGCATCTTGGGTAGTACAGTACATGGCCGACAAAGCTGTTGTTTAGGGCAATTTGTGAACGCCCGTTCTTCCTCGAATATTGTAGGTAAGGCCTTATCCTTTGGATTTTAACTTCTGCAATTCAAACATGATGTTAATCGCTCTTTCATTTTAGTCACCGTTAAAAGTGCTGCTTATAACTTCTGTAACGCCTGAACGCAACCGCCGATGCGTAGTGCATCAGCTTGGTTGGAAATGAGATCATTCTCACTATTTGGAAATTTGTGTAAACAAATGTATCACCTGTGTTGTTCGAGTACTTAGTTTCATCTAATTCTTCTTAACTCCGCGTACCCTATAAGTCAATGCAACTTTGTGCTTTACCCACTTCTAACCTTAAAAGTTTTAGTTTCACTTCTAAATGTATTTCCTGTCATGTCTTGTTGAATGCTGTGAACACTTTGGCCATGACCTTCCTGCCATAAAACTTATTCTTTAACTGCCCCAATCCTGCATATTTTCTTTCTACGTATTAAAATTTTTGCTTATTTACTTTCTTGGCTTTAGAAATGTCCATTGTGTGCTAGTTTGTTAGTATGAAAAGTGCGTTGAAATGGAACATTCATATTTTTACAGAAATTTAACCATTCATCATGAGTGACTTCAGTGATTTGGATAGACAAATAGAACAGTTGAAGAAATGTGAAATAATTAAGGAAGCAGAAGTAAAAGCTCTGTGTGCAAAAGCAAGAGAGATCCTTGTTGAAGAAAGTAATGTGCAGAGAGTGGACTCACCTGTCACTGTAAGTTTTGAACTTGCCGTATTTGGTTGTGAAATAATACACAGTGTTTTTCAATCATCATCAATTTTTTCAGGTGTGTGGGGACATTCATGGTCAATTCTATGACTTAAAAGAGCTATTTAAAGTTGGTGGTGATGTCCCAGAAACAAATTATCTCTTTATGGGTGACTTTGTTGACAGAGGGTTTTACAGTGTGGAAACATTCCTTCTGCTACTTGCACTGAAAGTATGTTTAACCTTTCTTGCTATCATTTATTACTATAAATGTTACTATGAACCTATTATCACATTTTTATCTATTATTTTAGGTACGTTACCCAGATCGGATAACTTTAATTAGAGGAAACCATGAATCAAGACAGATCACACAGGTTTATGGATTTTATGATGAATGTCTGCGGAAGTATGGAAGTGTTACTGTATGGAGATACTGCACCGAAATATTTGACTATCTCAGTTTGTCGGCTGTTATTGATGGAAAGGTAGACCTTAAACAATAATGTATTTGTGATTTTATCTTTGGTTTCCTGTTTAATTTTATCTTTGTCTTTCTTACAATATTTAGATATTCTGTGTTCATGGAGGCTTATCACCATCAATACAGACTTTAGATCAAATTAGAACTATTGACAGGAAACAAGAAGTTCCTCATGATGGTCCCATGTGTGATTTATTATGGTCAGATCCTGAAGGTAAGCTGCATTTACAAGCATTCCAAACCCCTTGTTTTATACTTCCAATCTTTTATGTGATGTAATTTACTAAGCTGTCTAACTGAGTTTCGTTTTTTGTAATGGAGCAGACACTCAGGGTTGGGGTGTGAGTCCGCGTGGAGCCGGCTATCTGTTCGGCTCCGATGTAGTTGTCCAGTTCAATGCTGCCAATGACATTGATATGATTTGTCGAGCACATCAGTTGGTGATGGAAGGATACAAGTGGCATTTTAATGAGACTGTGCTAACGGTCTGGTCAGCACCCAACTATTGTTACAGGTGAACACACACACACACACACATACCTATTTTCATTTTGACTTAGAAACCCAAAAGTAATTTATTTTCTTTTAAACAATTCCAGATGTGGAAATGTTGCTGCTATTTTGGAACTGAATGAACATTTGCAGCGAGACTTCACAATATTTGAGGCTGCCCCTCAGGATTGTAGAGGTATTCCATCAAAGAAGCCACAAGCTGATTATTTCCTATGAGGATTATTTTTAATTTATAATCTGAATTGTTACTGTAGTATTGCAATGTACTCAATTTTGGAAGTGAATGTGTTTTCCATGCTGTCATTTGCTACCAAAGCTGCAATTGAGCTCAAATTTCTCTTTGCAGTTGGGGAAAATTTTAAACATCTTATGTATTTGTTAAATCCTTTTTCTTGATAAATTTAAATTAAGTCAAAGGACTTCTGTTTAGTCCATTGTGTTATCTGAAGTTGTGTGTTAAAGATTCTTGGTAGAGGAAAGTGATTTTAAAAGTAATTGCAATACTGACAGTAATGTGGATATGTCCAGCAGAACAACATGATGTATTACTGGAATTATCTGATTGTAACTAACATTCGGAGTGAGATTTGTACATTTGATGTGAAAGTGACTGAATGACAAGTGTGTTTCTGTGTAGATTTATTTTAATTGTATCATTGAGCAGTTTCATACCACTAAACTTGGTGCTTTCGTCTTTGAGGAATACTATTATTTTGAAAGCACCGTGGTCAGCTCACTTGAAACACAAGTAGCAAATATCTATCTAGGGCTCAATAGTCTTCTTTTGTAACTTTTTATATACTTCATAACTTATATTTATGCCTCATGTTTGATGGTTTGTAGAATTTTCAGTGTAAGGAAGCCCTATTTATCACTAACTTCAAGGTCATGTGTTTCTTCTCTATTAATGTGTTCAGCAAAGTGCCTACCAGTACTTCCTCAAAGTAATATGTTGGAGTTGGGTTCAGTTTCCTATTGTACGTTAAAAGTACAGTATTTAGAGGACACGTCAACCTGAGCTTTATTATTACGTACTGAACTGAAAGGGATCATTTCCATGTGAAAACTCAATAGAATTTTTCTACCATGCCTCTCTCTCTGCAGTTCATGGTTTTCAAGCCAACTATACTTTCAATATTTTGGAACCTTTCCGATTATTCTTAATGATCTTAATAGGAATGTGGTGCAGGCACCTTGCAATTGATGATTTTCATCATGTTTTCATGGTTCATGATTTCTGTTCTTAAAAAACAAGATTTAGTTCTGTGTTATTGTTTCAGGGTAGTAGATCCCAATTCATACATGTCAAATTACATATATTGTCAATTTTCTAAATAACCTAGAATTTGTTCCTAATATGTCCCCAGTATTAATTTTTTAAAGAATTTAATTTGACAACGTAAGAAATTGCTTTGTATTTCAGGAAATTTACATTTGGTTATGACTTACTGCACAAAACTTGTGTCTGATTTATTTCGTCTTTCCTGGTTTGCAAGCAACAGACTGAAATTATTGTGTTAAGAGAAAGCTAGGTTCATAGGCAATTATGATCCCTTGTTTATAATAAACTGCCTTTAATGCAATTGACTTTTAATGTTTTATGTTACCCTCAAAGGACAAAATATGTTTTGAGAGGAAACCATATATAATATTTAGGAGGCTTGTGGTCATGAGTAAAATCACTTTATTGGAAAGTGCATTGGTGTTTCAAAACACATTTTTGATCACAGCAACATTACAGCATAAAAATTTTGCAAAATACTTACATGTAATACACAAGTGCCTGGTCATTAATTTGGTTTTCTGAGCCTTGTGCGCAGTGAACTAAATTCTTAAAATTGAACACTTGGTGAAATAACTATGATAGGAGCATTGCATTGGATATTCTGTAGTTATCTGACTTCAAGTGAATACACTTTGGCTCAAGAGTTTGACTAGAATGAGTGACACTTCATATGTCCAATGTGACGTACACCTAAAGTCTTTATCAAACTTATTGGTAACACAGTTCTTCCCTTCTAAATCACAGGTCAACCTATCATACAAACATAAACATTCAACATTCCACCATTTATGGTTGAGTTTTCCAAAAATTGTAGCAATAACCAATTTTTGAGTGTTTACAATACTGCTACTCCAGAAAAAAGTCAACAAAGGAATCAAGGGTGAATGAAAGAAGTTTTCTATCATTGAAAACTTGTGATAGAATAATACTGATGGTGACTGCAACATCATAAATAAAAAGTCAACACCTTAAACCTGAAAGAAGCTATTTTTGAACAACAGGAATGTTCAGAGTAATTCTGTTAGCTAACAGAGCAGTAAAAATCCTTACAATGGAAAGGCCCTATTAATTAACAAATTATGATAAAACAGAAAGTTTAAGAAGCTACTCGAGCATTATTGTAAAAAAATACCAGACTAGGAATAGTAGATAGTAAAAAAATTTAGAGTCAAAGTATTTCCCTATTCTGGCTACAAGACGCCCAAAACTAATGGCACAATGCAAGCATGGCACAAGCTTTTAAATCTTACATACGATACGTTATAAAAAATTGCACCTCCATTCCGACTAGAGAACAGCGCAAAACATTAAAACATGGATGCTTTCATATAGCTATTTCACTTGATATTAGGAATGTTTGGGTAAGAACAGTCTCAAAAAGATGCATCAAATCCTTGACCCATCAATGGCAAGTTTGATCATACCGACCTCATTAATCTGAAACTGATCACATTAGCAGAAACCAGCGCACAAAATGAAAGTACTATGATACTGACTTATCCACCAGTCAGAACAGAGTAATTATACTCAACAAACAGATGAAAGACCTGATCCTCTACAAACATTTTCTACAGAAGTCTTGGTCAAAAGACAAACTCTGCAACAAAATTGTTTTCAAAATGAATTGGCGAGGAAACACGCAAGAAGAGAGACTTGAAATCGGCCAAAAAAATTAGGTCAAGAATAACAAAACATTGTTAATAGTACTAGAGTTGGTCTAAATGGCATGCCTCACGAATTCAACAAAAGAAAATGTAATCTATAGCATAAGCTATTAAATATGCAACTTTTGCAATATCACAAAATAAGCTATTTTACCTAATGGCCAAGTTTCACTTTGGTACAAGTCCCCGAGCTTTTGGATAAACCACCTTCTTACTTGCTGCACCAGTACCACCTGTTATGGCACTCTTTGAGATAGCTGAGAGAGGTATCCCAGTGTTTAAAGCCATGGATGGAGGGATGGGACGACCTGAGCGAATACGATGATGGCGTACAGCTGCAGAGGCATCCACATCTAAGTCTTCTTCTTTTTTCAATGCAGCCTCAAGGACAGACATGATGGCAGGAGCCACAGCTGGTCCAGTGTAATCGTCAGTAGTGCGTGGGTGGGGATCTAGCTCTAGGCGTATGATATTTTCTCCACAAAACCGATGGCTAACACCAACTTTACTGGCTACACGAGCATATTCTGACATTGGGCGACGCATGCCAGCAACTGACACTGGTCTTCGAAACACAGGTAGCTGAAACAAGTCAATAACGAGTCATGAAACAACTTCATAAGTCACTTAAAATTATGGGCAAGAAGAACAACTTTCGAACTGTACCTGTTCCGGAGGAGGAGGATCCATTTTCCATACATCTTCTTCATCATCGTACCTCAGTCTTTCAACGAGACGCTCTTTTTCTTCAGGTGGGATGAAATTGTCAATTATAAGATATTGAAGTTTAAGGTGCTTTAAGAGTTCATTACGAGTAGATTCTAGCTCTCGTCTGTCTCTGTTAAATTCTTCAGTAACATCTTGAATTTCCTGAACAGATAAATTTCCCTCATTTTATGGAACAGTACAAATAAAACAACATTAACTACCAATACTAAATGTTCACTTCTTTCTAATTCCATACCTGTTTAACAAGCTGCAGTTTTGCGTACATCTTTTTCAACTTCTTTGTTTTAATTTCCACTTCCTGCTGGAGGTTGGTGTACGTTTCCCGAATTCCAGTTGCTTCTTCTTCCTGGGCTTCCAATTTTTGTTTCATTTCCACTTCTCTTCTCTTTCTTTCAGCAATTTCAGCTCTATGCTGTTCAAGTGCCCTCTGCTGCTCATTTGTGTGATCAATTATATTTTTTCCACCACAAAGGAGCTTGCTTTCCATAGACTTTATTTTTGCTGCAAGCTGTTCAGCATATGCTTTTTCTTGGGCAAGTAAAGCTCTCTTGTCTTCCAGTTCTTTGAGAAGACGTGCCTGCTCCTCCTCAGACACTGCATTTTTATTGCTTAAGATTTTTTCTTTTTTCTGCTCAAGTTGAGCTTCTTGGGCCTTCAGCAAATCTTCCTCTGTTTTAGAGGATTCTTCGTCAGATCCATCTGAGTCTTCAGCAGCATCCTTCTTCTTCCGTTTCTTCTTCCTTCCTGACAAGGTTTGACTTCTTTGAGCAGCACGTTCGGCAAGAATGTTTTTAAGCTTTGCAATTTCTTCCTGATATTGTCTTAGTAGGGCATCTTTAGGATCTTCATTAACTCTTGGTTTGTTCTTAATATTTTTTGCACGGTTAGCATAGCGCAATGTGGTCAAACTTTCATCATAATTGTAGCTTGCTGGTCCAATATTTGCTACCATAATGGTCTTTGAGTTACCACCAAGAGAATCTTGCAAAAGACGGGTTAGCTTTGAATCGCGATAAGGTATGTGTTGACTTTTCCCATCTACCAAAGCTGATATCACATTTCCTGAAAAATTAAACCCCCAAAAATAAGACACAACCTCATCTAATTAAAGAATAACAAGAAAACGAAATAAATCCTACCAAGAGCTGAGAGGGATAGGTTGATTTTGCTGGCTTCTTTGAGGCGTTCTCCAGATGCACCGGTTTTACTTTGCCTCTCACTACCGGCAAGATCCACAAGGTTCAGCTTACCAACACGTATTTGATTTTTGCCATCCTCTGATGTTTGGCTCATTTCAATGGTAATCATAAAAATAGCATGGGAGCGAGAACTATGCTCATTCATGTTGGTAGCTCCTATTGTTCTGTTTTGATTCCCAACTGACATGACCTATTAAAAAAGTGAAATATTTTCAAGTTAAATTTTTAAGACATGTATAATTTTAAACTTCAATTTAAAACAGTTAATATTTACTTGTTCAATTTCCTTGACACTTTTGCACACAAAGGACTGTAAGTCTTTTACATACACTCCTGTATCTGGCTTCTCGCGGAGATCATGTCTTTTATTTGGATCTCTGTCTAAAAGATCTCTAATTTCTTCTTGATATATTTCCAAGTATGAAGCACGTACAAGGTATTGCATATTGGCTTGCCTAGAGATGTGACTGAAGATTTGTTCGAAAGACTTTGGGATAATTCCTTTTGCATCTGCATCAGATTTACAGCCTTCCATTGTGTAAGTTTTTCCTGTTCCAGTCTGACCGTAGGCAAATATAGTGCCATTGAAACCGTCAAGTACAGATGAGACTAAAGGTCTAATTGTTTCTTCATACAAGTCTTGCTGTTTAGAGTTCCAATCATAGACAGCATCAAAGGTAAACGTTTTAATACTTTCACGTGACTCCTCCTTAGGATTGCGTATTTCAACAACGCCTCTTGATGGAAACATATCAACGACCCTCTCATGGCCCTCTCTTAGTTCTCTCTCATTTATGGGTCGACATCTTACAACAACCTGCACAGACTCCTTCTTCACAGGTTTGCTTGTTTTCTCCATAGTCTTGTTTGTTGGAGTTGTCATTTTTCAAAATCTGTAAATTTCATAAACCTGTTTATTTAGAGAAGAAAAATTCAATGAAGGGAATGTTATTTGTATACTGATAGACATCAAAAGACATCGGATGAAATATCTTAAACAAAAAGCTATAAGGAAAAACATATTTTCAATATAATCTGTCAAAACATTTGAAAATAAAAATAAGCGTACAGAGTTAAAATATTCTTATTTAACAATATTTACATTTGTTTCTGCTTGACAACCGCGGCAAGACGTCAGGTTACGGTATGTACCGACGGGTGTTGACCGGAAGAAATAGAACGTTCATCCTTTCAACTTCTTAATAACGTCGGGCCTTCATACCCAAGCGCAAGTCGCTGTGACACATTCATCAAACTCGTGTACCGATAACATTGGCGGAACGTCTGCGTCCGTTGTTTGATGATTAGTTTTCGCTCACAGACCCTTTGCTTTTGACAGTTTCCAAAGCAGACGGAATGTCGGTTTGTTACACTATCTTTTATATTTAGATTCACATTCAAATTCTAGGGAGAGCGCGCAGAGTGCCTTTGTGCGAGACTATAATTTTTGCCATGAAAAATTTCGTTGAGTTACATTGTCAGGTGTTAGAAGCAGGGAATTCACTTCGATTTTACAAATGAAGGCTACATGAATGAATAACTGGCAATGAATGGATGCTGAATGGCGAGTGAAAGGTGAGTGAATGGTGGTGAATGAATTAAGAATGATACACCACGTATGAGGCCTATGGGGTTCGAGGCAGAAAACGACACGGCCACATAACTTACTACCACGTTGCCACCAAAGCCGGAGGCTACACGCGTGGATCAACCAAATAAATTTGTAAAGCTTGCTTCATCTCGGCCACTTCTTTCCTTTCTCCTGCAGGAGGACGAGCAACGTTGCAGCAGTTTAAGCGGCTTTACTGGTGAGCTGGTGGATCGGATGGGAGCCTCGAGTAGAATCCAGATGGAGGGGAAGGACACGCTTCTGCGCGCGCGCGTGGGGG